GGAATATGAGCAGACATGGCTGCCCCTCTGGGAAGTTACGGGACTTATAAACAATAAATTATACACCAATAATAATTATATATTTTCAATAGAATTTGACTGTACGCTTAAGGTAATGTAGAACACTTGTGGGCGATTCATAACTGGGTTCGCCCACGATCTGTCATTCAGCGTGGGTTTACAAAGCCACAGCCTCCACGATGTCCTTACAAAACCTCAACAGGTTATGAATCTATGCAAATTGTATTTGGACAAAATAGACGCTGAATTAGCTACTCTGTAACAAAGTATTAATTAAAGGTAGCCTATTCCACTGTTTTTTTCTCCTTTCTTCGCCTGCACGGTTGGCGCGTCAGCCATGCAAAGAAGTTAGGAAGTGCGTTCTTAGATTTATTTTATTGGATTAGAAATTGGAGCGGAATTTGGAAGGTTCAGAAAAATTTAGTATATACGTACATAAATGGATATAATTTTATATTGTTATGAAAAATGAAACTGGCTAAAATTCTATATATATCAATATTTATTTATTATATAAAATTCTCGTGTCTCAATGTTCGTTCCCAAACTCCTCCGAAACGGCTCGACCGATTCTTATGAAATTTTTATGTATATTCAGTAAGTCTGAGAATCGTCTACTATCTTTTAAACCCTAAGTGATAAGAGCCGTTTTTACCCCAAACAATTTGTTTTTATTTTTTAGAAATTGTTTTTGTTTTATTTTTTATGATACAACATACTAAAATACATACAACCCCTAATTTTCACCCTCTCTTCGATCAACCCCTATTTTTTATTATAGTAGATAGTTATTTTTATTGAAATAAAAAAGTGTTTCCTAGAAATAAAATACATGGCAAAATAACGTTTGCCGGGTCAGCTAGTATTAGATAAAAGGAAAGAAATTGAAGTAGGAAAAGGAATTTTAATGGATAAAAGCGGGAAATAAACATTCCACTGTTATTATTCGAAGATGTAATTTTTAGGTTGAACGCAAACATAAAGTTTCATCCACCACAGAATAAATATTTGACTAAGTTCTGCGCTTTTAGAGGGCGCAATTTGTATCGCTCTAAACGCAGGAAAAGGTAATTCACAAGATCTAAAGCGGACAACGGCGGGAAGTTATATTTTGATAAAGTCTATATAACATATTATAACTTTATTTGCATGACGTTAGTAACAGTATTAAATGAATTATTTCCGAACTATTTCGACTTAAGGTTCTTCAAGAAAAGAGCGTACCAATGCTTAACGGACAACGCACTTGCTAGTGTGACCTTCATTTAACATCAGCTAAAACTCCTGTCCAATATAAACTCTGTTGGCTAGTTTAGAAGTTACAGACAGGGAGCAAGATATATTATTATACTATGTACAATATCGACACGTTAATTTGAATCTCTCGATAATTAGATAATTTGGCCGGTCCTTTGAAAAATACCTGATTTGAATAAAATCAATGTTAATTGGTCCCCTTGGTTATTTGAAGTTAAAGGAATATTATTTTGCTCGACAACATGCGATAATTTAAAATGTCCGGCCTTGCCTTACTCTCTATAATTTGAAATGTGTATCAGACCTGTCGATTGTTGGAAAATCTCTGGTAATCTTGTTGACTATCTACGCAGTCGAGGTCGGACCACGAATATGATTACTTTGCAGCTCCACTGCTATCAAAAATTCTTGGACATTTATAGACTGAAGTCAGAACCTAAAAACAGATCAGGCTTCTTCGAAATAAAAACTGACTTGTAGTTGTTAATACTAATAATAAATCACTAATTTTGATCCAACTCTTATTTACTTCAGTTCCCCTGTATATTTAAACACTTGGTAATTTGAAACTTTATCTTGTCCCGAAAGTTTCAAATTATCGGGAGTCGACTGTAAAGCTCAAAATAATAATTCAACCCACCTGTGCAGCTCAGTTAGCAAGACTGATCAGGTGATTCAAGTGGGTTGGCTATAAAGAAATATGGTCAATAGAACAGAAGGTGAGAGTTGTAGCGATTTCAAACAAGTCTTATAAACAATTCCAAATAGAAGCCTAAAAGTAGCTTTTGTCGTAATTAGTGCGACTTCTAATTTATCCAAGTACTCCTTGTGTCTCAGGGTTCTGACAGTTGGAGTGCCAACTGTCAACGTAATGAGCACACGGACTTGTTTTCTTTTGAGATACAGATATAGGAACGTAGAACATCGAAGTCCTATTTTATCTATGCCCAAATGATGGACATTCATAGATTACCAAAAAAAACTTAATATTTAGGAAATTTAATTACTTAACTTTTAAAACACCATAAAAATAAAAATATATAAATGAAGGTTTAAAAAAATTAATGAAGCATTGTTTTTGCATGAGTCGAAAATTTTGTAAGGGTTTTGAAATATTTATTCTATTTGCTAATAAAGATTGTATGGGTAATATATATTATAATAACGCTATGTTTAGTAATTTACGTCTTTTAATATCGAACATTTAAGAATATTTGCTGCAACATGCAAAAATTATACTTTAGTTGAAAATCGCGTGCGCTCCATTGTGTAATTAGCGGGTACGCGCCGTTCAATACCCCCGGCTCAAAAGGCGGACACAATGTATGCGTAGGTTTTACTGGGAAGTGATCGACGTATTGAAAAGTTGCCAGGATTTATCGTTAGGTACTGTTCCGAATTAGGTATCTATATTTTTGGTTTGTCTATAACAAGATTACAGTCTATTTAGTAAAAAAAAGGTTTTATATAGAAAACAAAAAGGTTTTATTTGTTCTGTACTATGTGTTCTATTTTCAAAATATCAATTCCAAAGGTTATTTAAAATAGAGTACTTAAAGATTATATTCGAATTCTATTTTCAAATTACCACCTATTATTTTCGGAGATTAAAGAAAGCACATTTGATGGATTCCTTTGAAAAGGTATATACTATATATACGTCTTTAGGTTTATCTTTATTACCGATTGCGTTGTGATGTGTGCGTGCGCGCATCCAGACTGCTGGTCGCTACCGACCATGCGTTGAGTCAGTGTTGCTATTTTTAACTTACCATATTTATTTTCGTTTGTTCGTATGGTCCTTACGATAATGTATTGAAAGATGGCTTTGATGTCTAAATTTGGTTTGTATTGTAGATTTTTCAAAATAATAAAACTTATAGTAATTAAACTAAATACATTCATATATTTACTATTAATATTGGTGTACATAATTGGGCAACTTTACATTAATAATCTTTTATATAATCTATAGCAATTATTTAAAGAAACTTTCGAAGTAAATTCTCAATTAAGTCCTCTGCAGGTTATCTGCTAATTAAATGAATCTTTTATCTGTGCTCGATCTGCATGACGAACGACTTTAGTCTGTGACATGGTCGTGATGAAAATGAAAGTTGTATGAGTTCTCAAATAAATCTCTTCTGACGTAATAAGCTTAAATTATTTATAAACGTATTTCATTGTAAAGGGGTTCGTTCAGAGAATTGGTCGATACTACCCCTCATGATAGTGACCCCATAAAAGCGTTGTGTGTGTTTAAACTCGGGGTTTGTATTGAAGAAATTATATAGATTATTTTTTTAGTTAGGTCTAATAGTAAAATCACGTTTCAGACATATACCATTACATTACATAAATTTTTATACATAAGAGTTAAATCAGTTTTATAACTTATAGTAGAGATGACAGAGTGGAATTAGATTAGGTATATAAAGGCGGTTCAAAAATCTTTTTGCGAAGTTTATACAGCGCAAACTGTTGTTGTCATTTGTTGGGTTGCTCACGTTAATGAAACGTATTGTGAAATTAAAAGAATAATAATAAAATTTATTCATAACAAAATATGGTTGTGACAAAATTGATCTAACGGTCGTCCCCAGACTACGGAGTGTGTTGTAGTGCATGTTTAAAATATTTTTTAAGAAAAGGTAGTAAGTAGTATGTTAAACCAATCAAACAAAAAACCGTGTAAGACCTAATATATATGCGTGATTGTATGAGTATGTGAATGTGTGTGCGTATAATACACACTGTATTTAAGAGTGTGGCTGAGAGTTATTAGCGCTGACTGGGTTAGTTTTAGAAACCTCAGAGTCATCTCAATATAAGGCTTCTGGAGAATCGAAATCCAAAACTGTATTAGATTAAAAAAAACAATGGCGCTACATCTTTATTAGGACTGGGCCTTAGATTTTTGATTCTAAGGCAATCCGGTTTCCTCACGATGTTTTCCTTTACCGAATATATATAAAAATATATACGTTTATTCATAGTATACTGTAAGGTTTTCCCAATAATGTTTCTATCTAAAGTTCATCGCATTGAAAAGCTTATTGTATTACAATTCTGAGTGCACGCGCGTTACGTGCGTCTTACCTAATTGTTCGTTGCGACGTATAATTTGTCTGTTAATCTTTATAGGTCATCATTCAGTCATTCGGGTCAGGGATCAGAAGGATTGGATCGTTGACATTTCGTAACTGGTCAGATTGTAATACATTCTTATCTTAAGGCCTGTATTCACTTTGATTAGTGCGAGTGCAAGTGATTAGTAATTGAGGATGATTAGTGCAAGTAGTGTCCAATTATAGTTTAGTGGCTCTGTTAAGTAAATTCAGTTGTCATATAGTTTGGCTGTCACGCTGCGAGTGAGGGGGAAGGGAGGGCGCACGCGACGTAACTACTCGCAGTTCACTCGTAAAAAAAATAGAACACGCTTCTAATCACTTTACTACGCATCCAACTAAACACCTGCACTAATCAGTCGCTGTCCACACTTGTTTTCTCCTAATCACTTATCACCTGCACTAATCACTAATCAAAGTGAATACAGGCCTTTAATCGGAAGTGCTTAATCTGTTGTCAAAAAGAACAGTTATTTGAAAATTAGTTAACGTTATAGGGAAAAGTCTAGTCGATCTGGTGAATAAGTTTCGAAGATCATTATCTGTAATACAATAAATGTAATACATATAATTTTATTAGTTAGTTTTTATTTAATGTGTAACACTGTGTCAAAGACAATCAGCCAGGCGGCAGCCAGACTTCCAGCTATCACCTTGATGACTGAAATACCACGGTCCGCTTCATGAGACACCGCACCGAATTTACCATGGAGAGTTTCAGAGGAGTTATTCGTATTAATACCTGCAGCTGAGTTTCATCATCGGACGTCGAGGCAGAATAAAAAATTCCACCCGTATCACCTCGACGTCCGCCGTTCCCCAACTGAGCGTTTTTCAAGGCAGATTTTGCCGCCCACCACCACTATGTGAAACCAGCTGCCCACTGATGTATTTCCGAACCAATTCGACTTGAAGGACTTCAAGAGCGTACCAATTCTTAAAAGGCCGGCAACGCAACGCGAGCCCTCTGTCATTGAGTGTCCATGGGTGGCGGTAAGGGAGCGTTCAAGTATTACGTCACGCAATTTTTGGAGATTACCGACCTCCCCTCCCCATGTAACACGCCGTAACGTTTTTCTGTTCCCAATAGTAAAACGTTTCGTGACCACCCAGTGACTCTTTATACCTAAACGTTACCATTATGTGGTGTATGGAACTGGTAAATCAAAAAATAATATTAACAATAACTCGTGAAACAATCCCTGCCCCGCATCGTAACGTTTTACAAAAAGACCCCCCCCAAATTCGTTACGTAATACTTGAACGCTCCCTAACATTAGGTAGCCTCCTGTCCGTTTGCCCCCCGTTCTATAAAAAACAAACAAACATTTTCTAGTGCAAACTAGTGAACTGTGGAATCGACTACCGGTGGGGGGCTTCCATGGGAGATACGACCTTCAATTGTTTTAAAAAAAACATACTGTTCCCTCATAGGCCCGCAACGCTGGGTATGCTACAATACCCATTTTAAATTTAAATTTGGACACCTGTCCATGGGTTGCGATGACTTTCCTTTGTGGGCGTCTTGTAGGCTCGTTTGACTATCCTATAGAAAAATGTTAGACATAGATGTCATTCCGACAGATACTCTTTTATTTCTACATCTTAAATATACTAAGAGAATATGATAATATAATTGAATGCCTTAAATAAATTTATTTTAAAACCCTATCTAATCACGAAATCCAAACTTGGAAACTTGAGAATGTACTTTGTGGTAAATGGCTTCTTTCAGATCCCCTACAAACATTTTTTGATACTTACGCCATACATATATATTACCTTTTCAGAATCAGACCACAGACGTCAGCCGAGGTTCTAGAAGGATGTGGCATCTGTGCGAGAGCAGGAGACGCTGCGGGGGAAGGTGGAGTCGCTCTCGGGTCAGAGAGGGCTTTCACCTTCGACTATGCCTTCGAGCCTTTGGTGGGCCAGCAGGAGATTTATGACACATGTGTCAGAAAGCTCGTGGAATCAGCCCTCGATGGATACAACGCAACTGTGCTTGCATATGGACAGGTTGGTTCCTTCTCCTTCTTTATTGTACCTTTCCTGACATATATATTTATTACGATAAATTAATAATACGATTGAGGCAAATGCCTCGTACATAACCTTATTATGTTCCGTGCTCCGTTCCAAGGGATAGGCAGTAGGGTTGTTCATAGATACTTTGTACGGGTGTTGTGTAAAGAGATTCCTACTACATATTTAATTCAAGATTATCAACGTTCCCTCTTCTACTATTAGTTATGGGTTAAAAAGACTGAGAGTACATACAATGTGAGAATCGGCAGAGTTTTATTTATACCATTGTACATTATAGTCTTATCAGCTAATTGAGTAATAATTATTTTGTATTTGTTATCGACAAAGATGTAAACAAAATGAACAGTTAATGAACTCGCTATGTTGAAAGATAACACGAAAATATTTAACCCATTTCTCAATATAAATGTCGTTTTTTTGTTTCGTTATCATTATGGTTTATTTGTATCCAATATTGCTCTCATTGTAACCTCTGTTGAATTGTATATTATGAATTGCGTTGACGCAAGGAGACATAACATCTTGTATCAAATGCGTTCTAAACGTTTGTATTGTCTTTAAGTGAATAAGAACGTAACAATTGTAGTGTGAATTGAATACACTTTTGTATTTGCTGTTCAGAGCGTGCCTTTTTGGTACAGCATACTAGACCACATACTAATATATAGGAAACAATGCTTAGGAGTACTTTTAGACTGTGCAGGTTACATCTAACTCATGAATCCGATTCACAAGACCCCTTTTATCTCTGTGCTTTACTTTAAATAAATGAACGTAAATACTGCACGTTTCTTGTCGCATCTTGGTGCTTTCAGAAATGATATTTCAAATCCCTTGTATGTAACATTCAGTTAAAAGGCAAAGTTAGAGCAGTGTTGGCCTAGTGGCTTCAGTGTGCGACTCGCATCCCCGAGGTCGTACGTTCGATCCCCGCCTGGGCACCAATGGACTTTCTTTCTATGTGCGCATTTAACATTCTCTCGAACGTTGAATGAGAACATTGTGAGGAAACCGGCTTGCCTTAAGACCCAAAAAGTCGAGGGCATGCGTCCGGCACAGAAGGCTGATCCCCTACTTGCCTATTAGATTAACAAATTATCATGAAACAGATACAGGAATCTGAGGCCCAGACCTAAACAAGGTTGTAGCGCCATTGATTTATTTTTTGTTAATTACATGTTTCTATATCCGATTTATTGTTTTGCCTAGGACTCAGTTCGAAGCGTTTACAAAGCATTCTAGTACATAGCACAGTATAGCTATAATTATTATTCAATTGGGTTATTAAAACTAATTCTCTACATACAATAGAAGATAATAATTTGGTAGCACAAAAGTAAGAACAAAACCTTTGTTGGTTTTTGCAGTCGACGACCGGCGTCGTAATTATAATGACTTACCTCGGCTTATGAAACTGAGACTGCAGGAAATGAAAACTAACATGCAGAAATGACCCTTATCTCTCCATTAACACAGTACAAAGTAATAATAGCCGTGAGATTATATTACTTAGGCGTTATCGTCTCAAATGCACCTGTTTTTCTTTGCGGTTCGCTTTCATGTATTGATCAATCAGTAGTGCATGGGGGGCCCATGGAAAACCCGTGAGGGTGATGATAGCATGCTAGTAATATGGTATTAAAATTTAATGATTTTTTTATGGTTGACGCGAAAGGGTGAAGGGTTTGAAGTAAAAACTTTATTGGGTTTTTAAAGTAATGAGTAAGACCTGGCTTCGTTACGTTAAACAAATAGTAGTTAAAAAAAACCGGAAGTACACCAGTCTAGGTAGACTGATGTACTTCCGGTTTTTTTTTAATGTAACAGGAGGCTCACCTGATGTTAGTGATACACTAACATGGACATGGCCCATGGACACTATCATTGCCAAAACTCGCAAGCGTTATAAGTGCTCTTTTCTTGAAGTCGTTTAATAGTAAACGAGCGCTTTAAGTTTGTTAAAACGTTGATTAAACTAACGAAACTAGGTTAAACCATTCTTTAGATATAGTTAGTAATCAATTTGTTAATGTACGACTCTGAGTTAGAAGACTGTATTTTTTATATTGAAATGTATAAACACTATATTACAAGAATAATTCTTTATACATCATTTCGTACCTTACATTAAATTAACTAGCCTGTTTTTAATTTCTTATTAGCGTGCGATCATTAATAAAAATTTCATAAATAATTGAGTTGCCAATCAAACTGATTTTTTAATTGAATCCACATTAATTACCTCCACTTAATGATTGTCATCTGAATTGGAGTTTGCGGAAATTTTCTTTGACTTATAAATAATTATGAGGTGAATAAATTATTATAATTGCGTCCATATCCATATAGCGAGCAAAAATGCAGTTTTAATGCGTTTGGTATGAATATGGTTTAAACAATGATTAAATACATTTTGTTTCTATTAATTGATTCTAAGGTAAAAACTTGAAAAATGCCTGTTACCCTGATTTTTTTATTGTAGCTTATCACTGAATAGTAACTCTATAATGAGTTTAGTAAACAATAAATTTTAGTTCTGCGTATAATTTTTTACCGTATTTGAAATTTGTGTTAAAAACGCTTTAAGCTTTTACGGATAATTTTATTCTCGTTAAAGTTTAAAAGTACTTAATGTATGTATAAAAAAATATCAATAAATCTTAGTTCTGCGCGTAAAATTTTTGATACAAATATTTAACGAAATTGTTTAATACTTGTCGAACTTATACTGTATGGGGACTCGACTCAGTCCCGACTCTGTCCTATATAATGTATAAAATGAAATGTTTTAATTACCTATTAGGATAGAAATGTATTTGGAAGTTATCGCTGTGACGCTTTTAAAAACGCTTTTAAGCTTTCACGGGTAAAATTTTACTCTTGACCTATTTGGCTTGAAGAAGAACTTTGCGTATTGAACGAAAAACCAGAAATGGCTTAAGAACACGTGTTGTCAAACAAATATGTTCTACTACAAAACACGATCTTTCTTTTGTTTTCACACACACAAACACATAGTTTACCACTCGTACAATACACGTATTTATTTATTTATTACCATATACGGCACGGAAGAGCTGGGTCCTTTAAAAGAGTTTACAATGTGGACACATAGTAATATATTTAACAAAAATGGGCACCTAAGGAAATTTACGTTATAAGCTCGATTTCAGTTAATTAAATGAAATTTAAATGTCTGACGTAGTCTGCATTCTTCTAACTGTGTATATTAAAACGCGTGAAGTGAATTCTGGCAATGTTTTTATAAATTTTTGATAAAATCTTTAAAAACGGTGTACACGAATAAATAAGAAATGGTCGGCAATAAAGACAAGAAGATCTTTATACTTTTTAATTAAATAAAGTTACAAATGCAAACACCTAATTACGAATGTGACCTCTTGACAAAATCACAACTTGAATCCTTCGGGGCTCGTGTTCTACTTTTTAATAACGTTTTGATTGTTTTTTTTTTAAATTTTGTTTGTGTTCAGAAAGCGCCCACGGAGCTCTTTTATATAAACATCTATTCATTATTCCATTAGGTTTGTGGATTTAAAGTATGCAAGCAAAGGGTTTAACTTATTTAAGATCAAAGCAAAACCGTATTATTTTTAGTATCACAGGTTGACGACCTTACGTAATGTCCCAATTCCTATTATCCTTATCCTACATGTTTTATAGCTATGTGGGTGTTACCTTCGCGATTAATGAACGTTGCCAATTGCCGGAACGCGGCAGAACAGATGGAAATACGTAATATGAAGGGAGGGTGGGAGCGCTTCAATCGAGAAAAATGGTGTCTGGCTGGAAATGTTTCGGTGTTATATATATTTCTGTGTATGGTTAGACGGGTTGGATATTTGGCAAATTAATGATTTATTTATGAAAATTTCCTGCTTTTTTTTATTAAATATGGCAGCGTTTAAGCCTGGTTGGCTGTTAGCTTCATCATGATTGATGTGATTCTATTGACTGAGCTTTACGCGAATCGCATTTATTGACTGAGTATTAAATGCTTTTCAAAAGCTACTTACAAAATAGTATATATTTACTAGCCGGCAAGAGGAATAGAAAAGTGGAGCAAGAAAGTACTAAACTGGTTCCCAAGGTACTACAATAAACGAAAAAGTGGGTAGACCAAATTAAGGAGACAGGAATGGCAGAATGAGAGAGAGATAAAAAGAATGTGATAGAAATATAAATGTGTTTGAGTGTAAAAGTATCGGAATAAAAGGCTATTATTATTATTATTATTAAGTATATATGTACTACCTGCAGCTATTGCAGTTAAAAGCGGGCCTTATTTGGGCCAATAACCTGTATCCAAGAAATAGCTTATCATGGTACAATATAACAATACAAACGAGCTAAGTCGTTACGTAATTGTACTGCAAAGTGTCTACCGACACGCGAACTGTTGCTATGAGGGAGGAAGATTTGGTAAAGAATTTTGAATATACCTTAGATAGTTTGGTCACGAATGTTGCTGCTGTACTCATTAAGTTTCGATTTGCGTGGTGTGTATGACAAGTGTAGATCTGTAGTAGATTTTTAGGTTCACAAGACGTAACTGTACGGGGTCATCGGGGCGCTATAAATAAAAGAACATATTAGTTTTACTCTATATTAACCACTCGCGTACAATAATAGAATATAAGCGAATTATTGAAGTTTGTAGTTTCTCTACTATTTAAACGAGCTAGGTCTGGATATCCATAGTTGCTCCTCTCACACCTCAAATCGATTATAGTTAAGTTTTTTTAATTTTTATTGTTTTGTTTAATATTTGTATTAACTTTTTGTATGTATGTTTGCCTATAAGTGCTGGTCACATTAAAAATTTAAATTGTGGTTCTTTGACTAATGTATCAGTGAGCCGAGCGTTGGCAAGCTTTTATCAATAAAAAAATCGTCCAAGTTGCATAAAAAGGCATTTCAAATACGTTATGTATAAGGAAGAAATTAGCACTAAGTATCGTATCTGATAAAATAATTAACACGCCAACTATGTAAGACGAATTCCCACTTCA